GGTTGAAAATATGGCTTATGCAGCAATGAAGCCCACGAAGGCTGGTTTGGAGGAGCCTCTTCAGCAAATTCATAAGATCAGAATCACTCTCTCCTCAAAGAATGTGAAGAACCTCGAAAAAGGTTTGATCTTGATCAGTTATCTTAAGTCATTAGAGAATTTTTGAGGAATTTAGTGTTTCACTGGTTTTAGAGTTCTTTGTAATATTTTTTGATGATTTGGGTCAAATAGTGAATCAGTGTTTTTGATGTGTTGCTCCAAATTATGTGTGTAGTGTGTACTGATTTGGTTCGTGGAGCAAAGGACAAGGGACTCAGAGTCAAGGGACCAGTGAGAATGCCCACCAAGGTTCTCAAAATCACTACCCGTAAAGCTCCTTGTGGTGAAGGTACAATAGCTATCTCAACTTCACTTTGTCTTGCGTTTACAAGCCTTGAGAAACATTACACCTTCAGTGTTTTAGGAACCATTTCTTAATCCTTCAGTCTCTGGAACAGAAAAACACTTCCTTTGATCTTTCTTAAGTGTGATTCGACTACGGATTTAGGCCTTGTAGCATGTGATTGAGCTCAATGTTTTGGTTTGTTGACATTGCTGAATCTCTTATCAATGGTTTTGGTAACAGGTACCAATACATGGGACAGATTTGAACTGAGGATTCACAAGCGAGTGATTGATCTCTTCAGCTCTCCTGAAGTGGTCAAGCAAATCACCTCCATCACCATTGAACCTGGTGTTGAGGTTGAGGTCACCATCGCCGACTCTTAGATGTCTTTTTTGTCTTCTAAATCTCTTCAAGAAACAGTTTTCTTTCCTCGGTTCGAGCATACACTTCTGTCTCTTCGGATAATTTTGGATTGAACCAATGTTTTTGTTGTAGTGCAACCTTAGTTCTTTTGTTTTAGTTGAGGAGATTTTGTCCTATCGAGTTTTTATATGCATCTATCAATATTTGCAAACATAATTTCCTTCTCTATACTCAATTTGAGATCCTCATCTAATCTCTTGACCATAATTTGCACCAATTTCCATTGGACGTGTAATTTGAAGCTACAGAGATTACTCACAGAAGAAAAATTATCTGGAATCGTAATCCTCTTTTGCAAAGCACTTACAAACTCTCGAGAGCAGTCAAACGATATCGTTTAACACAAGAAACAAGTACAATTTGTTAACAAAACTAGTGATCCTTGGTCTCACTTTTGATCATGTACCATCTCTTCAGCATCCTCAAACCTCTGATCACTGATTTGGAGCTGCAGTGCGAACACAAACATCGATAAAATAGCTACCATAACACATAAGCGACAAAAATGAATAATAAGCACAGATGTTTCATTACCTCGAGCATAGGCTGAGCAAGACCTTCCTCTCCATTGGAATGACCAATTACACTCGTCGGACTCTGAGATATTTGCCATTCAGCATCTTCTTCCCCTGCAGAGCACAGAAAAAATATCACATGTCTTAATACCATTCAAGATGACTATTGTAATATCTGCTCTCGAATTTGGTCTCGGCGAATTACCTCCTCCACGAACATCCATCTGATCAGCACTGAACACCCAATTATGTCCACCTTCTTCTTCTTCTGAAAGATACAATGAAACAAACATGTAAACGGCTATGGAACCAGAAATTGCATCAGTGATATAGTAGTAAGGCTGTATCTTTAGTATGTTACCTTCAATTGGTTCTGGATTCAGCTCAGCACACTCGCAGAATATATCAAACAAAGTATCCACTGTCGTAGACAAGACAAAAGGTTATGTCTGCTTAGTGTCTGATATCATGGTATGAAACAAGAAACTACATTCTACCTAAGATTCAAATTAGCTCTAAGATTACTACATAAAAACTCACACTGGCTAGAGTCTGAAGGAACAAGCCTCATCTCTCTGATCTTTGGTAAGTCCAAAACTCCAGTGGATTCTGTATCAGACTCATCCTCATCCTCATCTTCTTCAACGTCAATCTTCAAAAATAGAACCATAACGTTAAAAAACAAAGAATTTGGAGAACATAAAGCAGAAAAATGAGAGCGTATAACACAAAACAACTTGTGCAAACATCAAGCAGACATCAAACCACAACCATGTGCCTGTATTTGTTCCACTGATCATAAGCCAAAGCACATGAATTATGAACCGATACTATCGTCACTAAAGAAACAAGAGATTCAGATAACTTTTTGACTGATCTCAAATTCAACTAAAACGTCTAACCCATTTTCTCAAATTCCAACTGGGATTTCCCAAGCTATAGTACTTGCAACTTATCACAGACACAAGTACTTGTTTCTGCCAAGAACTTATCACAAAAACATAGTACAAAACAAAACATCAAATAATCTTAAAGTAAAATGACCCAGCACTAAGCTCTAAGCCAACGCTTATAAACCGATACTAACGTCACTAAAGAAACAGGTGACTCAGAAAACTCTATCACTCATCTCAAATCCAACTAAAACGTCAAAGCCATTTTCTCAAATTCCAATAAGAAGTCCAAACTACAATACTTGCAACTCATCACAAGCACAGGTACTCAAAAATCATATGTCATTACTTGCTTCTGCTAAGAACTTATCACAAAACACCATAATATAGTCTTTTAGCTAACCAAACTGACAAAACCCAGAAAATTTTCCATTCCTATAAAGCAGAATTCACCCAAAAAGTGTTCAATACCTGAGTGTATATACAAGGAGACGAATAAGCCTCTGGATCTCTCGAAACCGCATGAAGCGATATCGATAAGAAATCAACAGCATAACCTTTTGCCATGTCTACATCGCTCAACCAGATCAATTTCCTGACCACAAAACAAATATCTCCGTAAGCTATGGCATTTTCTTTTGTCAAATTTCAATCAATAAGGAGATTTCTGAGTAAAAGTTTCACCTGGAAGTGATGTAGAGAGTTCCCGGAGACTCGAGGGGGCGGTTTCCGAGAGCGACGGCGACGGAGGATTGAACGTGCATAAGTTCCTCACCGTTGGGTTCGTCCAGAATCGGTTTCCCGGATCCGTCTCCGGTTCGAAGCGTGAACTCTCTTAGACCAACCACCATTGTTTTCCGATCACAAAGAGACGATAGTTGTTCGCAGAAACTGAAATTTCTGGCAGGGTTTTTCTTAGGGTTTGGTTTTCTCAGAGAATCTCTGTTCTGTCTACTTTACAGATGAATATCTTTATTGGGCTTTTGAGAAAAAGGGCTCAATAAATATGGGCTAGAGATCACGTTAAAAGGAAGTTATCGCATAGCTTGTTTGTAAATATTTTTAAAGTTCTAAGA